AAAAAAAAAAAATAAATATTGATACATAATTTTTCTTATAGCGAATAAATATAATTGTTTGATAATTTAATACACTTTTACAATCTTTTACGATTTTATATAATCGTTATAAAATTATTTCTTTTTACAATAACTAAAAATAATCTCGTCATTAATTATAGGTTGAATGCAATATTAAAGCAAAAAATTTATTCACCTCCAACACAACATAAAAATAATCTTATCTTCATTTAAAAAAAATACCGATTCCTTTTAATTTCTCATTAACTCTCCACTAAGTATCAAAACACTTCCTCCTCTCAAAACATTTCCGGTACCGCAGCATATCTTATGGCCACAGTGAGCCACAGTAGTAAGTTTGTTCAAGAGGAAGCATCCACCATTGGCAATGAGACCAGTGAGGCGAAATGGGAACCGAAGGAGAAAAAAAAAAGAGAAAAAAGAAAGAAAGAAAGAAAGAAAGAAAGAAAAGAAAAAATTCTGAAAAGCCAGTTCCGTGGAACGGTAATCCAGGTAGCAGATAAAACGGAGGGCTGGCGGAGGTGGGACGAGAAGTCACATCCCCGTCGCCGAAAGCCGCCTTTTACGTAGCCGCCTATAAAGTTGTTCCGGTGACCGCGCGGCCGCCTCAGATACACTCCACCCTTGAACGCATCGACCAGCATTGCTTTCTCGCCATGAATTTCCTCGTAAGTACTTCACTCCTCTCTTAACTTCACAATTTGTCGTTCTCAACAACGGTGAATGAATTAATTCTTCGATCTCGATTTCGATTGAAATTTTCCCTTTTATTCTTCTTTTATTTTATTTTATTTTATTTTATTTTATTTTATTTTATTTTTTATTCATCTGGTTTGGTCTGGGTTCTCTGTGATTATGGTTTATCGTTTCTAAGTTTATTCTCTACGGTTTGTGATTTAATATATTGGCGAGCAGAAAGATTGAAAGGTATGATGGGTGTTAAAATTAGAGCATGGCGGAACGAAATGTGTCGTGTGTGGTTTAAATCGCTAACTAAAAAATTAAATTGTACACGATATTTATATTATATTTCTCGATTCTTTTTTATTTCATTTCGAATAAATTTAACCAAATTTTAGTTTCACCGTTATTATTCTAAGTTTCTTATGTTTTTTATCCTTTGTGTTTTATGGTTTAAATTATGAAAATATGGGAGTCTTTAAAAATTGAAACGTGCAGAAGGAAATGTGTCGCGTGTGGTTAATCGCGATGAGATGTCCCACATCACGAGTTTCCGGTAAAATGGCGTACGTGTTCGCGCATCGTGGTTTAATTATATCGTGGGTGAATTATTTCGAAAGGAAAGTCGTTATACACCGTGAAATTGATCGTGAAATTGTTTTTGGGTGAGATTACGAAATTTACGCTGGAAATAGAACGTATATACGATTTAAAGATAAATTTATGAATGAATAAATTTGACAAAGAAATTGGCTCTCATAATACAAATATGACGGACAAAACGTGATTATAACGAAACGTGTTGAATACGATTGGATAATAATCGTTATTTGCGAGATAATTTTTTTTTCAGTGATTGTTGATCATTGCTTTACTTATTAATTAGTAAGATTGATAGCAATGAGAATTTGTCAAAGTATTTTTGCTCGTGGATATTCTTCTTATTTCTGGAAAAATTATTACATTTTCTTTTTATAATAGCTACAAACACGCGAAATGAAAGTTCTATAAGAAGTAAGGACATTCGTATATCCACTTATAGTTGTACCTCTTTTATCCAGTTTCAACAACTTTTTACAGTTACCTGATAATTAGAGTAAAAATAGGACACTTGTGTAGAACATACACAGTATTCTTTTACTTTCAATAGCTGCTCAGAAACAATGACGATACAATATCTTTCAATTTATAGGAAACATACGTGCAAAGTTATTACTTTATAATATTTATTTTAAAATTATTAATGAAAAGTCATAAAAAAAATACAAATGTGCAGAAAAACAAATAAGTTTACAATATAATTTCTTCAACAAAGAATTTGATTGAATTAAATTACAAAGACGTAAATAATTGGAACAAAAGGATTACAACATATAACATTCCATGTCTCAATCAATATTTTCTGACAAGAAATCATTACGCCAGACAAGAACCCTTTTCTTCGAGAGTAAACGAAACAGGCGTGTCTTGTCAGCTAATTTATATTTCACTTTCCATAGGCTAACGTGTAATTCTTACAACGGTTGTGCTCGATAGTCCGTGTTGGTTTCCATGATAGATTTTATTTCTTTTTCCTCTTCGAGTGGAATGCTCGGAGGAAAGGTATACCAATACTCGTCGTCTTTTCCCGATTACGGAAACTGCTATTGCTAATCAACTTTCCCCTTGAGAAATTGGAATTTCGTCGATTCGATCGAAGCCATCGATAATTACCAAATTTAATCGATAATTCATACGAATTTTTTTTAAAGTGAATCAAATTAAATTTTCTTATATTTATTATCGAATGATATAACGTATTTGCATGTATTTCCATGCATGTGTCGAATGACATTACAAAGAATGAGATAAATCACTCGATAAAAAAGACAAATTGATTTGGTTTAATCGCCTAACTTAATTAGTCTTAACGAATGAATTAAATTGGAATTGAATGAATTATATATAGGTAATAGATACTTATCAATTCAAGCTTAAATAATTTGCAATTAAATAGATTATATTATTAAAAATATTTGCTAAAGAATTAATTTGTAATATATAATAATTTTTTTCCAATATATTTTACTACTCCACAATTTTTAATAATTTTAGGATCACTTGATAAAATTTGTACTCCATTATTCATTCATGATTAGAGATCGTTAAATTAATTAGAATATTTCTTCGTTGATAATTAATGAATGTAATATCTAATTAAGAATTAAGAAACGTAAAATACAAATTGTTATCAAGCACAAATTGAACGAAAGGATAATGCCTAGCAGGATAACTGGATCGGGAACGTTTAAGGATAGGTTTCCATCGTGCTTCTGAAACGTGTTATTAACTTCGGTTGATCACGAAGAATCTGGTCTTGAAGTTACCACTTTCCCTTCCAGCCACGGTGCCCCGATCTCGAAATACAATTCCATATAAATGCACAGGACACGAACCAGTGTGCTATCGCAACTGTCACTGAGTCAAGTTTCCACCGTATTAGATAATACTTGATTAAAACTTCAGGTTGCGCAATTGATCCTTAAAGCTATGTCTCTCTCCAGACATTTATTTTCTTCCTTTGTTATTATCACATCAATGAAGCAAGAATATTATTTCATTAATACGTTAATATCCTATAAATTATATTATCGATGAAAAGAGTTGTTATTCACTTTTGAAAAAAAGAATTGTAATTGTGCAAAATAGTGTTTTTATGAAATTAGATGGAAGAGAAATTGGATAAAGAGAAGCGAAGTTTTATTTTGTTTTATGTGAAAAGCTATTTAAATAGTAATTAGAAAGTATATACTCTTGATGATTTATTGAGTAATACAATCCTTTCTTAGATAATACAAAGACACTTAATTAACGAGTTATTACTTAATATATTAACGCTTAACGCTTCCTCATTTGAGTATTTAACTCGATTACATTGTCAAAACATAACAAAAATAATAAAATGAAATGTTATTCAAAGATACGTCTTTAAAGAAATATCTTTCGATATTAATTAACACAGAATTGATATTTTTAAAAATATTAAATAATCGAGTGTTATTAATTGTTATTTCAGGTTTTACTATTAATAGCTCTTCCTGCGTGCTTGGCACAATTCACGATACAGGGACCCAGTGACGGGAATCGAGTCGCTCAGGGCTTACGAATAGAGGAAGGGAAAGGAATCGAGTACACGGATCAAAATGGTAAAAAAACAGATAACAGATACCGATACTGTTCCACATAAGAGAAAAAATCTCGTAATTTATTCTTCTATCTCTCTGACTGATACAAATTTACGATCAGATTTATCGTTCAACGTCGTTACGTTGAAGCTATATCAAACTACTTTTTCAATTCAATTCAAATATATTGAAGCTTATTGTCTATCGAATAAATTATTTTACGATAAAAATTTTTAATTTATTTATTCTTTATATATATCAAATCTTTTCGAAAAAATATTTCTAAAAATAATAATAAAATATCGAATGAATATTTTTCTTTTAATTTTAATATCAATTTAAACGTGTTTGATTTGTCTACAGACGCACACGATAGTGGTTTCAGTATTCAAGGTGCCACGGATGGTAGTGCTCAGATACAAGGTTCCAGCGATGGCCATTCCAATTTTCAAATTCAGGGTGCCACTCAGGGTATAGCTGAAAGATATGTGCAAGGACCCAGTGCAGGAGCATACAATATCCAAGGAGCGTCCGATGGACATAGTCAATCGATTATTCAAGGAGCCTACGATGGTAGACCGGTTGCTCCAAAATCTCTCCAATATAACGATCCCACTGGTAAGCGAATTTATAATTTTTCTTCTCTTTCTTTTTTTTTCTAGATTAATATTGTAGAAATTAGAATTAGATATAACTCAACAATTCAACCGAAACCGCCAAACATCAAATTACTAGAAAATTAATTCGAAATTTCGTATGAAAGGACTGAGAGTAAACTGGAGATCGTACGATCGGCAATCGCGGCCAGCAGCACAACAGGAATATTCTCAAGCTGCAGCTCCAACCGCGCCAAGAGCATCGCATCGGCAAAGAGCGTCTGCCCCTAGACAGCCACCTCCACCGCCACCACCAGAACCAGTCGCCTTGCAACAATCGAAGTCTATAGATAACGCTCCTTCTCATATCAAGCATCTTCTTCAGCTCCAAGCTCAACTTCCATACGTGAACATTATTCCTGAACCGTACAGGTAATGCCGAATTCTCGTCAATTCCATTTTTTCCTCGTTATTACTCGTCGTGAATTAATGGATATTCAGATTTGTTTGTTGTATCGAGCATTACAATTGCAAATTTTCCCAGATACGAAAATCTGATATCGCTACAAGGTGCGAATCAACCGCAACCTCAATACGAACCTCGGTACGAGCCCCAAGAAGAATTGCCTCCAGAACCACGGCGTCCGGCTTACCGCGGGAAATCACGTGGTCCAACTAGACACAGACGACAAGCACCGCAACAACAGCATCGCAAACTTCCGCAACCACCAGCCGAGCCACAGATCAAATACTCGCCCAATCTACCTCCTCATCTTCAACAACTCTTGAAATACCAGGCGCAAACACCTTATGTCAACTCGATTCCAGAACAGTACAGGTAAATTTTATCTTGCTAAATTAATCTTGTTAAATTGATCGATTCTCGTTCGAGCGTTTAATAGTATAACAAATTTTGGCAAACGCTGGGCATTCGTCAAATTTTCAGATTTAATCCGGATCCATCCGCGCAGATGCAGCTGGAACAGTTTCGCAATTACTATCAAGATTTGATTAGACAGCAACCAACGTCTCCTGTTGTGCACACAGTGCCACCGGCGGTTGCGCCACCTCCTGTACAAGTTTCACCGTCATCAGATCCATCGCACCATCCAAGAAGACAGAGAAGACAAGCGCCTCATCAATCGCGACAACAGCCAAGACCACAGCCAATACCAGCCGAACCGGTCCCCCAATATTCCACAAATATTCCTGGTCACATTCAAAGTCTGTTGAAGTATCAGGCCCAAATCCCTTACAACATCATTGCCAATCAGATCGATTATCGCCTCGACAAACCGTACGTGCCCCAGCCAGTGCAACCCGCTGGACCGCCGCAAGTTCAATATCAACCTTCCGTGAATAATCATCCGTATCAAGGGCAGACGAGCAGCGGCTATCAAAGTCAATTGAATACCGCTTACCAATCGAGCGATCCAGCTTACCATCAGGATCAAGGAAGAGACGCGTATCAAGGCCAACCAAGCGGGTACAGTCAAGTTTACGCTTCTCAACCGCAATATAGTCCGCAATATACTCAGGCTCAGCTTGGATACGAGACAGCTGATCAAGGAGTTCGTCCTGTGACCGAGAAGCAATATAATCGAAAATAAACGGGCGTAATTGTTTGTTTGTATCTTGATTTATCGTATTATCGTTCCGTAATTAATTGGAACGATGTTTTCCATTGTTCCGGATATTATTTGATCACACGTTGTTCCGTTTCGCGACGATGTGTAATTGCGAAAAAAATCATGCGCTTTCGCCGAGGTTGTTTCGTAATACTGAAATATTTGAAGGATCTTTATATATTTTGTTTCGTTTCGCATGCATTAAGTTACTCGTGAAAGTGAAATATTTGATACTATAATAATGTTTACATTTGCTTTTGCTGTTAAGAAGTAATTCTACGTAGGAAAAAATTCTAATTCGTATGTACTTTAAAGGTTGCAGTATTTTTAATAACATTTTCATTCAAGGTTTATCTTATCTATTATTTAGATTTAATAAAAATAACTGCGAAGAATATTTTTACTCGTCGAATATTTGCTACTTTTAAATAGCAGTCGAAGTATTTATTTAAACGGATAATATTGTTTTCTATTTTGTATACGTATGTAAATGTGATACGAAAAGTGTACTTTTTGAATATTTTTTTTTTGTTATTAAAAAATCAATTTCACATAAATTCATATTCTTTTTCTTCTTTTTACAAGATATTATATTTGTCGAAAATTCCTTAGACGGAAATATGAAAGAAAAGATTATCTATTTATCAAATTAGAAACACAATATTATTTTAATTATGATTATATGTTTATATTCACGATATATTATATCATTAAATAATTTTATGTAATTAAAAACTTAAGTTTCTCTCTCGTTTTAAGATAATAGCAAAATAATAATTTGCATTACTCTGAATATTTAAAGTGTACTGTTGTAACGGAAGTTATTTGAAATGGATTTCTACATCGGAAATCGGACTTTCCACTTCCGGTGAAAGAGGAAAGAACGAAAGTAACGCGCCATTTTATCTTTGTCGTATAGATTTATTTATAGAGATTTATTTATATATCATTTTAACAAGAAATAACACTAAATGCATGAGCTTTTTCGATTAATAATAAACAGCTTGTCCATTTTACAGTTTTTATATCTCAATAATTTTCCAATAAAATATTTTTCACATAAATGTATTATTTCGATCTTAATTATTCTGAACTAGGAATCCAAATTTTTAAAAAATAACACATATCATAAAACTTAAAGATAAAGATAATCGTATATATATGATATAAACGCATATGGATAAAATTTATTAAAGAAATAACACTTGGACAAAAACTAGATCGCATTTCGAGTTTTGCGTATATGATCCACTTTCACTCGTTGCTTTTCCTCTGTATACTTAACGTAATTGAGCTAATCGTCTTGACTAACTTTTAACAGCTCAGAAATATATTTTGTAATTTGTTAAATTTCTTTGAAATAAATCAGACTAGTCTCTTCATTGTTCTTGAAATTTTACATCCTACTAGATTCTTTCTTCAATATAACATACATACTGAAGACAACATACATATTGAAGAAATGGAACGGTGAATGTAGAATTATATACATTAAGGTCAATTCCTTTTACAACTTGTCCAGTCATCGATTAAATCGCGATTTTTTTTTTATGGAATATATAAAATGTCTTCGTAGAAACTTTGTTCGAGATATTAATGCGGTCGACTTAGGAATACGGAAGTGACCGATGCATATGCTTCCTGCAACCGGTGGCTGTACCGTTACGTGACTAGAAATACGTGTTTTGCTTGGGACGTGTTTTTGCTCAATCCATATTTACGTCGATAACAATTTTTTGATTTCTTTCAATTTTAATTTTAGCCTCGAATATGAAATATAATCGATTAAAATTATAGAAAAAATTATCGACACGAAAATCTCATTTCTCGATATAATTTTTCAAAATTGAATAAATCTTTTTCCTTGTGAAAAAGTAATAATAATAATTATTTATCTACAAAAATTTTAAAAAATATTACACGCACGATCTAATAACAACGGATAAATGAATTAAAGAATTATTGGTAAATGAAATCGATTTCGATTGAGTAATAATTGATCTCTCGTCAATTAGGGAGCTATCAACATTCGCGTGAATACCTTTTTCGATCAACGAACGAATTTTGTTTCGCCCTCATTTCTTAGAATACGATTGATCATAATTCAGATAAATTCCAAAGCGTACAGCCTTCCATTCAAAAGGAAAAATCGATCAAACGACTTTCACGTAACTTCGAATTAACCTCTGATATAATGTGCACTCGGGAAAAGCTGGTTCCGACAGCGTAACCCAAGTTTTTTACAGAGAAAGTTCATTTCAAACGATCGAGCAAGTTAATTTCTTTCTTGATTTTAGAAAAGTTCAATCAAAGATAATTATTCGCTTACTTAATTTTGAATAATCAAGTTGATTATCGCATTTTAATAATTACTTATTGTAATTTGTCATAATGTTTCATTAGAATAGAAGGATTATAGGTTCAATTTATTAAACAAGGCTTGATCAATAATTTGTATTATTATTGGATACTTGATGCACGAAGTGTTTAAGTTATAAAATTAAACGCAAAAACTATTACACGACTGGTTTTACAAGAAGAATGCTAATCTCGATAGTTAAAAGTAATTACTTTTACGATTTAGTAGCAACAACTTTCTCGTGATTTAAAATTTTTATTAAACAAACGATACATACAGATAAAAATACCGCATCTTGGAAATAAAATAATTATGAATAGAATTATGCAGCATAATGGCACGTGAAATAATAATAAGACTATATAAAATTTTTTTTATATTATTACACAAACTACTTTATTTCATTCATAACATACTTTTCTTACAAATAGTTAACCGTAATACTTTTCACAAATATACAAAAAATACCAAACATACACGCGTGCAATTTTTCTTCTTCAACAATTTTCTGTATTATTTCTACTTTTCCATCGAATCTTATTATTATTTATATCGACAATTTTCAATATTCCAAATCTTTCGCTTTCAATGAAACACTCAGTGATTCTTAGAAAATACTATTCACAAATTTTCACGATGATCCTTCGTTTAAAATCTTTCGTTAATTCGAAATAAAATAATTATAACATCGATGTACAAACTCTATCCAGTAAAAAATAATTAAACAGACAAGACTCATCATTTTCGAATCGAATCGTCCAATAATTCCAAGTTTTCCTGCGACTAGCTTCCTGGATAACAGTGATAGAAACGTCGCATGCCGTGCATACAGGACGCGTTTGTTACGTGACGAACGGGCGGGGGACTTGGACGGAGAGAAGAAAAAAAAATATATATTCAATCGAAACCGACCAACCGTGAAAGTTAGTGGTTGGCCGGACCACTTACCCTGGAAACGCTCGCCCATATAGAAGTGCGTCGCGACGCGGCCGCCAGTTTCGTTCAGCTCCCATCCCGAAATCGCTTACACCTTCGCCATGAAGTTTCTTTCTGTGAGTACAAGTCGATTTTGTGCCTTCCTTGGACGATTTAATAATTTGTTTTCTTTCTTTCTTTCTTTCTGTGAATATTTCTCTTCTATTTTATTTATTTTTATTCTTTTGTTTTTTTCTTCTTTTATTTTCTTTTTTTTTTGAAAACGATGGTGAAGACAGATTGTGTGGTTGAATAAGAGAATCGTTTGTAGGTCATTTGAATTTTTCATATTCAATTTTTATTTATTATTATGTATATCTTTGAAGTGATGATAAACTTTTGATAATTTTTAGTAATGAAATATAATACATTATATCGTCACTATTTATTTAAAAATTGAATAATTATTACAAGTTTGTTATTCTCGTTACGTTAATTTTATGAAGTGAAGAAATATTACGTTTTTAATTAATATACAAATTATTTTAAATTAATTTAAAATATTAAATATTAAATTTATATTAACTTTTTATATTAACTTTCTACATAATATATTAAACTTTTCATAGTTTACATTATTTACATTTAGTGTAAAATATCATTCTTGCAGTCAACGATACAATTGGAAAAATGTTAAAAATTGGAAATAAATTGAACTATTTTCAAAAATAAAGAATAAAAATAATTAATTCAAATTATTCAAGATTACGTATCTATTACAAATTCACGCTCAATTAATCCTATTCGTGAGAAATTACTTAAACGAGATTTGACCTACATTATTTCTTACAAAGATCTATCATCTCTATAACGTTCGAAAGGCGTATTTACGCCTCGATATACGCCTATATCGAGTATTTCTATCCTTTCCCTTCGTGAGAATTCACTACTTTACTACTATTCAAGTATGCGCGTTTTGTGCGCAATAGTGTGCACCGTGAGAGATCGGTAAATTGCATTAACCAACTTTCTCAAACGCGAACCGATTTTTCCCTTCATGGTTATCCGCAATTTTCACACGTTCCCGCGTCTTTATGACATTTAGAGGAAAGAGAGAGACGTTTCTATTTCAGTGTCATTACGTTCGTTTTACTTTACTTAAATAGGTCACCATAGAGAGAGAGTGAGCTTTTATTGTTTCATTTTATTGGAGATAGAAAGTCTCGATGTGTCGAGTTTAGAAATCGATGAAGACGACGATAATTTAAAAAGTTAAAAGTTTAATTTAAAAGTTAAAAACTAAAAGATTTTTTTATTATGTATCTATCTACTTCACAAGCAATAGTATCCACTAAACAAATATAAAATGACGAGAACTATTATTCAATAAATAAAATCTATTTAAACGCTATTACTATTTCGTAATGAAATCGTTCGATCAGATTTTTGAATTGATCAGATATTGATTAACGTTATATAAATTCCAGGTTTTAATATTAGCTGTAATTATACCTATTTACGTCACTGGTGATGCGTTCGGTGATCTTTTGGGGCAAGAAATACAAGAGCCAACTATCGGTAAATTTTATTCCTATACTTTCAACATAATTCTTCCAAATTTGATTCGTGAATGATATTCTATCGATACCGTTGAAAAAATTTTCAGCCCATATCCGCGAGAAGAGGCAATCGGGTCACTTTCGTACAGTGAACCAAGCACCACCACCTCAGATACAGCAACTGATACACGCGCAACAATCCCGTCCACCATTGGTGCCCGTTCCACCGCAACCAATTCCAAAACTGGGTCCATCTCAACCCATCCAGCCTCAGCAATTATCACAGGCGCAGGTATCTCAGTACAAACCGCAAGTGACATTCGCCTCTGGTGTCCAACAACCGGATTACAAATCGATTCCAGTGAACAGTGGTCAATACAAGAAACCGATTCTTCCTCAGCAACCCCAGTATCGTCCTCTTCCTCAGCAACCTCAGTACCGCCCTCTTCCTCAGCAACCCCAATACCAACCCCTCCCTCAGCCTAGTTATAATGCAGCTCCGCAATACAACAGCAAACTGCCACCCCACATCCAGCAATTATTGCAATTTCAAAATAGTTTGAGTAACACGATTCCTGGAAAAGCATAATAGGATTTTTGAGAAAATTTGAAAATTTTAAAACTGTATATGTTCATTGTTTTATTGTACATTCTTTTGTTATTCGAGATTCGTAAAATTTGATAAAGAGTGTAAAATAGAAGATTTGATTGTTGTTTCTTGATGAGGGGGAACTTTTTCAGCTTTTTCAACTTTTAACGAGCACGGTGTGTTCAATTTTAAACGTTAGAATTTGTAAAATAAAATTAAAGATGATGAATTGTATTTAATCAAACGCTGCAATTATCAGAAGAATCAAATTAAATTAACCAGTCTCGTTACACAGAAATACAAATTACATATAACCAATTATTAATATACTTTAATCATTATAATTGATGTTAATTCTGATGTTAATTATTACAAAAAAAGAAAAATACAAATGATTATTGTAGATTCTTCGAAAACAGACTTATATAGTTCAATTGATTGTATCGATCAATCAATTGCTTCGACAGTTTCATTGATCTAAATTTAAACAATAAAGATATTTTCGAAAGTATATAAGAATCGATCGATTGAGTTTTAAACAATTTTTATATCACTAATATTTCCTTCCACCAAGCAAACGGACTCATCATCATGAAAGAACTGGATTCGTCCAAGCATACCAGAAGGGGTTCAAGGTGGTACGGTATTACGTCAAATTACGTCGTTAAACGCACCGCTTCGCATTAAGCGCACTCAATTCGTCACTCGAGAAATCAAGGTATCATCGCACCGATGGATCCGCACAAGGGGCGGGTTTTTCAGCGTTACGGGACGTGACGACAGGGTAGATTCTCCCTCCCCCTCTCCTTTATCGTCGCCCCATGCCCGCGCGACAACCCACACGTTGCAGTATTCCCCCGTCCCACCCCTTCTCTCCGGATAGAGAAGCGCAGCCCTAAACTGTGCCCTGTACCGCAGTCACACCACCCTGTGTCCCCGATTTTTACCTCCTTGCATGCCTTGAATACGACCCCATGGATGGACTCACCGACAAACAGGGAAGAGGATTAGCGAGTCCATTAAAGTCGCGGACTCTATTATCCGGAGAGCACGGCCACGGTGACATCAACCGACTGCCAGTGGCGTAGCAA